ATTATATTATATATAATTATACATATAATACAATTATATTATATTATATATATTATGTTATACATACTATATTAATATATATTAATGTATATTAAATCAATATATATTATATAATATATAACAATAATATGTATAACATATAAAATACATATAATATAAATTCTATATATTATATAATAAGAAATATATATATTAAAAATATATAATTTTTATTATTTAGGGGTTTTTTTTAGTATTTTTTTCCCTTGAAATAATCAAGGAGCCACCAAGTCCTGTGTTCAGCCCCTCAGTGAGACCAGAACTCCACAAAACCCAAGAGATAAAACCACGGAAAAGCACCAGGCCGAGCAGGAAAGTTAATAATCAGCAATAAGCAGCAGATTAAACCCACTGGAAGTGGGGGAAACGAAGCCTGAGAGCTCAAAAAGGTGAAATTTAAACCTACTTTATTTTCAGTTCCTGTTTTCCTGCAGAGCTGAGCCCCTGAGCTGGTGAAAGTCACGGCAGGAACACCAGGAGGAAGTGCTAAAACAGCTTTTTTTTTTTAACATTTTTTAGCAAGGGTTGGGGTGTTTTTTCTTTGCATCAACTGCAAAGTTTATTCCGAGCCCAAAGAGCGAGATTTGAGGAGCAGGAAGGGGAACTTTCCCATGAATAAGAGAAAATGAAGGATAAACCCTCGGATCTTGGAAGGCCTGGGGACAACCCAAGTCACTCCAGGTGCTTCCTTTTGGTAATTCAGCTTTAAAATATTCAGAAAATCCACTAAAAATAGTAATAATTAAGATACCCCCGCGAAATTTTGTGTAGAATTCCAGTCTCCACCCAAATCTCTCTTGCCCAAAATTAACCAGCACAAGCCAAAGCCTTTCAGGAGCTGTTTTTAGAAAGGGATGAAAAGAACAATAACAAGAAGTGATTTTTAATGTTGTTATAAACAGCGTCCCACGAAGACAAAGCAAACCTGATGAGGGGAATTATAAGCTGTTCATTTTTTTTAATTTTGCATTTTTATCAGCTCTCCCTTTATTTTAAAAAAAAATAAGAATATAAAAGACATATAAACCACACACATAGAAAAAAATATAAAGGCACAACTGGCATAGAGAGGATAAAAAACCAGACATGTTCCTGAGTTAATAATTCTGCTGTGGGTGTGAAGGAAGAGAAATGAGCAGCAGCAGCAAATTTTCCCTCTTTTCCTTCTTTTTTAATGTGGGAGATCCTTCTCCAGGCAGGAATTGTGGAAAAGTGCTGGAGAGGGACACAAAGCACTTACCTGGGCAAAAAAAAAAACAAACAGCTGAAGGGAGAAGAAAAATCAAAGATACACCCTGGGGATGCATCTTGTTGGCAGCAGAAATCAGAACTGGGGGCTTTGGAGAAAAGGGCAAGAGAACATTCCCTGAAAAACCGGGAGAAAAATCTCTGGGATGGACCCGGGTGAAGTCCCAACTCGCCTTTAAAAGGGAGAAGGAGCCCAAAATTTGGGAGGTCCCTCCCCAGGGAACTTAATCAGGTGTTCACCTCTCACTCAGCAGCCAGGGGGAAAAAAAAATTGGAGATTTTTTAAAGTTAAATGTTGGAAAATAACGGAATTTTCTCCTTTTTTTTCCAGGTCAGAGGCCTCTGGACACAACTCAGCTCCTGTCGGCTCTTGGGATCAACTTCATTTAAGAGTTGCCAAAAGCAGGAGCTCAAGTTTTAAGTAAATCCTCCCAAAACTTCCAGAATCCAAGAAAACACTTGGCAAACCTTATCCTGGACTTTCTGGGATTGCAATGGATTCCCACTTTGGGAGGCCAAGCTCCCCTGCAGCTCTTCCAGCAGGAGGACCCCAAAATCAGACCCCAAAATAAGGCCTGATTTCAGGGCTTTGGGGTTTCCCTGCAGCAAAGCTTTGTTTTCAGACTTAATATCCCACATTATTATATTCCCAGGGAAGAGAGGTCATGTTGGCATCACCTTTGGAGATTCCAAAGGCAAAGCCCAGCTTTGGGGAAGGGCTGGAGCAGTTTTAGTGCTCCCACAGGAGAGAAGAGCTGTTCAATCCAAGGGAAAACCCAACAAATCCCAGCAGGACCCTCCGGAAAACGCGGCCTTGCTGCACTCCCAAGGTCGGTTGTGCCTCCAGAAGGCTCTTTATCTACAGAATCCCAGGGTTATTTGGGTTGGAAAAGCCCTCCAAGGTCATCAAATCCAACTTTTGACCCGTCCCTGCCCTGTCCCCCAGCCCAGAGCACCGAGTGCCACGGCCAGTCCTTCCTCGGCCACCTCCAAGGTGGGGACTTCCCGGCAAATATTTGGGATAAAAACCCTCGAGAATTCCTATATTCACACTGTTTCACCCCAAAAGGTGCCAGAGGATAAGTAAAGAGCTCAGCAAAGTGCTGAGGCACCACAAATATTCCCCTGAACTCCTTAAAGCCCAGCCCAGGAGAGGTCTCAGCGCTCGATCCCTCTCCGAGGCGTCGGATCAGGAGTCATTTGAAGCATCATCTCCCCAAGGGAATCCCAAGATTTCCCTCAATTAGAACAATCCTTCCGTGTTTCATCCTCAGACCAAAGCAGGGAGTGCTCATGGCCATAATTCAGGTGTTAAACTCAAACCTTACATGGGGTGTCCCCCAAAAAAAAGCGGGATATCGGCTGCTCCACGACGGAGCCGACGGAGCTGCTTTGAGCTGGAGCACCTTTCTCTCCAAGAATAACAGTAATTGGAGAGTCCTTCAGGGAATCTGCTTCCCTGCAGCCCAAATGAGGCATCACCTCTGATCCCAAAGCAATCATCTCCAAGAGGCAGGAGAGCCTGTTCATTAAGGAGGGAACACGTAAATGAAGCTTCTCCCACTCCCGCCACGGAGCTTCAAATATCCCTGTTGGAGCCCAGGGAAAAGCCCCAGGAGCAGGGGGGTTCTAAAGGGAGCTGGGATTTTCCAGCCCCTTCATCAGGAGTTGGGCAGGAGCTCAGGCTTGGGCCAGGCACAGGATGGGAAATCCGGGCAACGAACCACGAAGTGGTTTCATTTTTCCACGTGGAAAAAACACTTGGTTTGTCTCTTATCACAGAATCATGGAATAACCTCAGCTGGAAAGGACCCCCCAAGGATCATTTAATCCAGCTCCTGGCCTTGCACAGGACACCCCAACAATGCCACCCCTTCATGGGATGTTATTCCAAGGGAGCAAAGGGAACACCGGGAGACAAGCCCGGGTTGGGGAGACACAAATAAATGTACCTTCATTCCCATCACTGCTGCA